CGCAGCTGGAAGAATTACTGCTGTAGTAATAAAGATACATACGGCCAGCTGTATAAAATGGCTACAAGTAAAGTTTTTAGTCCCGCACATATCGGTCTTTCGAGAGATCAACTCTCACGTAACAGCCAGCTTGGTAATGTCACTGAAAAGATTCTCAACAATATTCTAGATGTTGTTTTTTCCTAAAAGATAATGCAGAAGACGATGGCCACTCACATTCCGACATTAGATACAATAATACCGCTCCAAATACTCCAGACGATGTGGAATTCCACTCACAAGAAATTTCAAAAATTATTAAGTATCTTCCGAATAATAAAGCTCCGGGACCTGACGGATTAGACAACAGGATTATTAAGATAATTCACCACGCAATGCCTTTTCTGTTCCACAAACTACTAAACCTCTGCCTCAAATTTTATGTCTTCCCGAATTGTCTCAAACAGGGACAAACAATACTATTCAAGAAAAATAATAAAGATCCTACGGATCCGGAAGCCTTCAGACCAATCAACCTCTTACCTGCAATAGGTAAACTTCTGGAACGTGCAATCGCGGGCAGATTACGCCACCACTTAGAGAAAAACGAAACCATAAGCCCCAACCAATACGGCTTCAGACCTCTCAAATCTACATCACATGCGATAGTAGAACTTCAAGAGCAGATCCGTAGGAATAAATCTTCAGCTCTCCATACAGCAGTACTCTGCATGGATCTCAAAAATGCGTTTGACTTCCGTGTGGTGGCCTGGTATCCTTGAAGCCTTGCGCAACATTAAATGCCCTCGGAACATATTCAAGCTAATGAATAGTTTCCTAACAAACAGAGCAACGATAATCATCAGCAACAACTGTATAGTAGAAAGAAGAATAACGAGGGGCTGTCCACAGGGCTCTTGTCTAAGTGCAGACCTGTGGAACATCACCTTCAATTATATCACCTCCTACAAGTGGCCGGACCATACAAAGCTCATCGCCTTTGCCGACGATGTGGCCTTTGTAACAAATGGGCATTCAAGAGACATACTAGAAAAGAATAGTAACGAGACTCTCTCCATATTCCATTCCCTCTGCGTCAATCAAAAACTAATAATTTCAGAGCCCAAATCACATATTATTTTATTTCCAAAACCGGGCAAATCGCTACAAAGGCTACCTTGCATTAAAATCAATAATAGAAGAATCAAGATCTCAAAAGAAATCAAATTCCTCGGATTGAAAATTGACCAAAAGTTTTCTTGGATCCCACACCTCATGGAAATTCGGAAGAAGACCCAAACTATTTCTAGAGCCCTCGCAAGGATGCAAGGCACAACGTGGGGCCTCAAGTCGAGGATGCAAAACATTCTCTATAATACCGTGATCGAAAAAATAATCCTCTACGGGGCATCAGCATGGACTCACCCTATGACAGTGAAAAAGAAAAGACTCTTAGCTTCGATCCAACGCCCCTTCCTCTTACAAATAGCAAAAGCATACAGAACTACCTCAACGGCAGCTCTCTGTGTATTAACAGGAATCCCACCCCTCCACCTGAAAGCAAAAGAAGATGCAGACTTAGCCACGTTATTCCACCTCAAGAAAAACATAGAGGTAGAAGATCAAAACCTGTGCCCCCTTGATTTTGAACAGCCACGAAATCCTTACCTAAGACACCCTGCAGTACATGCAAAACTCAGAATATCTACAAAAGAAGACACCCTCAGTGTACCTTCATTTCCAGTCGTGTACACAGATGGGTCAAAGTTAAACGAAGAAGTAGGATGCGCGTTCTTTGCACTCCTCTCAGAACAAGAAACAACAGAATGGAAAGGACACCTAAGGAACAACAACAGCGTTTTCCAAGCTGAGCTTTCAGCCATAAAACACGCTATTCTATGGTCTCATCAAAAGCATCTAACATATGTTACCATCTACAGTGATAGCCAAGCGGCAATTAAAGCTGTCAATGATGCAAGAAAACAATCATCAATAGTGCAAGATATCTACGATTTATTATCACAGCGCAAGAGAACATCTATAAAAATAAAGTGGGTAAAAGCGCATGCTGGACAAGCCCAAAATGAAAGGGCAGATGCGCTTGCTAAAAATGCAGCTCAAGACCCATCTCTACCTCCAATCAATGTCCCATTCCCTAAATCGTATGTGAAACATATGTTGAAAAAAATTACATTAAAAAAATGGCAAACTGAATGGGAAAATGCAGAAGTAGGTAGAAGGCTTTTCAACTTCTACAAGAAACCCACATATGATCCAATCTCTTATAACTTCTTCATCAACATATTCTTATCTGGACATGGTCCTTTCCCCACGTACTACTTTGCACGAAATTTGAGCGAATTCAGACAAGTGCGTATGTGGGGAAAAGGGAGACCCAGAGCACTATATTTTCAAGTGCCAGCTCACAAAAGAGCTACACTGCAAAGGAAGGTCACAAATTACGCCTGAGTACATTAAATGCATGCTAACGATACCTCATTTACAACAAAAGGTTTCCTTGATTATGAAGAAACTTTTTGCATATAAAAGAGAAGACATATGTCAAGATGCTATCACATCTGTATAAATACCTCTTATTCTACAAACTTGCAAAAATAATGCAAGATTTCAGAAATATTGCAAGTGTCTGAAACAGGCTAAATATGGTATAAATAGTTTTTATAAAATAGTTACATTAAGAATTTGGACTGTATTAGTGTAATAATTAAATCATTAATTAAAAATAATATAAATAATATACGACTCTATTAGATATATTAGTGTAAATGTAAGTATTATGTGATTTTCTAATGTATATTTTCTGTATTTATGATACATTAATTTACAAAAATAATAATGTAAGACTTCAGTGCTGATGCATTTGTGTGTAACAAGTTAAAAAAATGAAAGGAAATGTATTAATAAGAGAATTCGCCTTAGTAATTCAACTAAGTATGATAAAATGCACAAAAAAAAAAAAAAAAAAATCTTCAATTAGCTCCTTAAAATGATGTTTATTTTAATTCGATGTAACTAGATATACTAATGTAAATGTATATATTGTTTGTATGAAGTACAATGTACAATGAAAGTTTGTATGTATGTTCGAAGTAATTATGTTATTTCAATCTGCCATAATCCAACTTTTGTTGATAGGTTAATTTCTTTGCAATAATTGTATACTATGTCTTTGTAATTGTATATTCAATACGTAAGTCTAATATTAATGTAAAATTACTATGTAAATGTCTTGGTAGGCTAGCATCCGATGCGGGCCAACTAAAAGCCTAGCGGGGTACAGTAGTGCGGCGGAGCAACACCTGTAAAAGTCACTGACGAAGTTCTGGTGCTCCGTCCACTTTTCCCTGTCCCTGTTCCTTCTTACTATCGTGGGCGAGTTTTCAAGATTCCCTTTTTGCAATACCTTGCCCTGATATGTTATCTGGTACTATTATTGCTTCTCTGCCAAACAGTTTCTCAATTTTTGAGATGCTAGCTCATATACATTCTGATAGAAGATCTTCATTTATGTTCATCCATGTTAGAAGATCCTATAACAAACGCTGTTTACCTATATGGATACCACAACCCGGAACAGTATTTATGAAGAACCATACACGAGCTAATGATTATGACCCGATTGTGCAGGAAGTAGAGCTCATTGAGGCTAACCCAGATTATGCTTATATTAAACTTCCATATGGTTGTGAAACCAATGTTTGAATATGATGTTTAGCACCTATATATGCGATATGCCATGATATCAGGTTAGATGAAAATCAGCAATTTTCAGATTCTTTAGCTCAACAGAATGAAGATTTGGCCACTGAAGATCCTAAACCTGTATAAAAAGTTGTAAGAAAATCAACAGAAGAGGATTCCCAAAGTAGTGATTTACCATGCCCTAGCAGACCCGAAGATCTTAAAAAGACTTCAAATAATTACTTGTATGCGAGGAATCCTTGAGTCAGAGACATCAGCCTTCTTATCTGGCAGACTATATAACTTATTAATAATCTTTGGAAGGGGTGAATGTGGTAATATTATTATTTGTTATTATTATTATTACTGGCAGCACCGAAGATGTTCTGTTTTATGCGTTATTTTAGTTAATTAAAGCTTTATTTGAACTTATTAAAGAAAATGATTTACTATAGTTACAACATCCTATTTATTCAACAATAGCCAAGTGTCAGAAGAAAATTCTACAGACTTTTCAAAATAAGGTTCTTTGTATAATCTCCATGGTTTATTAGAAACCAGCAGATTCATGACGATCACAAACTTGAAACGCTGGGTAACTTCTTTCATCTTGAGGACAAATCTGAGTAAGAACTATTACGTAGCCTAAGTAATTATGATCCTACAGAAAACTGTTAATACGAAAGATAAGCGATTTTCCCAACAAAGCATGGTAAACGTTAGTAGAAAGTTGAGCTTTAATCTCTTTTAAACGACATCGCTAAGAATATGAATTATAACGAATAAGCAAAGATGCTCTCGTCAGCACTGTAGTTTGAACATTCTTCGTGAAGGGTAAGTAGTAACGAGAACGGAGAACGCTAAAAATTTATCGAAAAATCAACTGGCAAGAACCAGACTTTGTTATTAGATAGCGTAGTACCAATAAGAAAAGTATTCTGTTCTTCGAACTTCTTTTTCGTACTAACTTAACAATTCTTACCAGACATCTGAAGTTGCAGAATTTATAAGAATTGTTAACACTTTTGCAGAAGGGGTAAAGGAAGAAATAAATTTATTCTTTGACATGGTCTTTGGTTAACCTTTATAAAATAGAGGACTTTAAGTAAGTAATCCTGAAATATAGAAAATTTAAATTAATGAATGATAGTGTTATAAAACTGCACAATAATTTTATACTTATTACTTTATTTTAACACTGCCCTATGAGCATATCGCGGTAGAAACATCTATTTTCATAAAGCTAAGAAAAAGGAACAAAATGGTAATAATTTATGTATTTCTATTAGACAGCATAATCAGCTGGCTGAAAAAGATGGATGCTTGTGAAATATTAAGTTTCTGTATCTCGGAATTTCAAATTTTTAACTCCAAAATATAAATGATCTCTAATTAATTTATGAAATGCAATTATCGGAAAATCAGCTCCGGCTTTACTTATGTAGTTCTAAGAATCATCTAGACTGAAAGCTGTGCATGGCAACGTCATTTTCTGATTGTTGTGTTCGCATGCTGATAAATAATGCCATGCGTTGTTGCTCTAAATATGCGGGTTTTACAGCATTTTAAAAACTTCTAAGTTATAATTTAATAGGTAAGAACTATTTATGATTCTTTTAAGGTGCCGTGAAGTAAAAAGTCATTTCTCTTGGGCTGATTTCTTTTTGAAAAACATTTCAGACCTGGCTTGCACTTAGCACCTGTTATACCTATCGGAACTAGAAATGTCACTTCTAACATTTCTCTATACGCTTTTAGAAGTCTTACTATTTTATTAATTTATTGTAATGAAACTCAAGAAGAATAGTAATGCCTTAAATACTATATAAGGGATTTTAATTGCTATATGTTGAACTATAAATTTATTTTTTTGTGTCAACTTGTTTTGTTAATATAATAAAACGAAATACAATATTGTAATTTACGTTTCGTGGTTCATTTTGTGCATCGGGATTTCTCTTAAAAGAACTAATTTCATTATGGTCATTCTTTAACTTTAGGTATCACATAGATATGTTATTTCAGACTGAAAGATTAAAAAAAAAAGATTTTTGTAAAATAATAAACTAACCATAATAAACTGAGTACACGCTTTGTTTTTTAAAACCTTCAGTAGTGAATGTATCAAATAGTTAAACTGAATCTTCAACAATGTCATCTTTGATATGTAATTAAGTTTATAAACTTAATGAGTTTTGTTAAAATTGTTTAAAAAAGAATGAGAATTATGCATAATATTATGTGCAATTGACAACATCAAAATTACAAAATATTATGCAGCCTATATATTTTTAATAGTTTCCTGTGTGAAACATTGCATCCTTTTCAAAATACAGTTTCCTCTTTAAAATGTTGTGGGATTTAATTTAAGAAAAACATAATAAACCTCATGTGCTTATGTTACTTTGTATGTATGTTTGAAGTTAGTGCACTTTACTTTAACTCTACAAGAGAAGGAAATAGGCATATTAATTTTTAAATGTATGGAAAAGTATCAAACCATCTTTTAATTTTCAAATTGTAGATAACCATTATAATGTAAATTTAGCTTATATTTTCTTTTTATTTATACTTGCCTTTATTGTAAATAACTACTAATATGCAAACTTTCCTCTTTTCTGGCCTTTATGCATCATTTATTTAAGTTAATTTATAAAGGATATTTTTATGAATATTTGATATATATACAATAAAAAATTGTATATATATCAAATATAGATTAAACAAAAATTTTGTTTGTTCATCTTATGATATTTATTTTATTTAAAACTGGATATGGAAAAGAAATAGTATAGTTTATTCCCTGCTTTTATTATGTAATTTCATATGTAACCTTGAATGGATACATTAACATCTGCAATTTTATGTTCATATTTCGTTTTACTACTATTTTACATTCAAAATTCAAAAAATTTTTCATCTTCAAATGTTTTTTATTATAACCACCATTTTGCAATTCACTTCAGAAAAATCTGGAAGCATTAAAACTGTCTTGGTAATCAGAAATGGGGCTTCATCGCCAAAACTGGACAAAATTTGTTGCTAACCAAACAGCCACCTAATTCTACAATAGAGCCATAATTTTATTTAAAAAATAATCATTTAGTTTAGTTTGTTTTGATTGTTATGAACAACGTTTCATGTCATAATAAGTCTCAAATCTTTGCAATGGATGGAAAATGTCTTCTTGGTTGATCTGTACATTATGGTAACTTGGCGTTTTTTTTGCGAAAATTTGGCGACCAACTCTCCTACAGCAACCCTCTATTTTTTTTTCCCGCCGCCATTTTGTCTTCACGAAGTAAAGACATGTTTCTTTTCTTTTCATCTACTGAACACTTCTTCCAACAATCTACTAGCCGAATTACACTTATGCTAGAAATTTTATCTAACAAAACTGCTTAATCATGACAAATATTCACTGCAAAATTGGGAAAAAGTGCACAATACCATACTCCTTACGCGTTTTTCAAAATAACACATACCACATAAACCATGTACACGCCGACTTATTTTTACTTAAAAAAAACATCCCAGAATTGCCACAAAAATGGCATTGCGCACACTCTTCACTATATCCATGTACACTGCTTTTTTCTCATAAATTAGAAAAATTCCACGAAAATGCATAACAATTTTTTGAATCTTTAAACCCGGTAAAAAGAACATATATGAAATTACCTGATTGCGAAAAAGTACAAACCCTTTCCAAATATGAACATTTCCCCGTATAAAATAAATAAAATATCCAAAAACTTTTACCTCTACATTATCTATTATATTACAAACGTCACTAACTAATTCATACCTTTACTTCATTACAAATGGTTACAAATACTTAGTGTCAAATATTTAAATTATTTCCATGCACGTTTACGCAAATTTACTTCCACCTTACATTTAGAACAATGCATAAAAATAATATCCTCAAATAATTAAAAATACTAACTTACCTATTCTTCTTCAGAATCTTGATTACGTGTCTGATAAATTTTTCTTATTTCTGTTTCAGGATCTTTAAAATCATACTTATAGTTCACACCAAGGTACCAGGTAAAATAAATAACTTAATAAAACATCTTTACTTCTATCTCGCACAACCTTAAAGAAACACTTATTACCCCTTTCAATCCCACTAAATACCCATTTCGAATTCACTTTACTTACGGCCATGGATCCAAAAATTCACAAACACTGTTTCACACAACACAGAATAAAGGCAAATACAAAATTTCCAGATTTTTTCCCGATTTCCCCCCTTTTCGATTAAAGAACCGTAATTCGTCCATTAATATCGCATGACATATCACATGATCTCTCATTTCCCTCACACAAAATAATGCGTAATCAGAACTGAGTACTGCTCACATTATTACCAAAGTCCCAGGTAGTAACCTTTATCGCCTCGAAAATGTCGCCAAACTACCAGTTACCATATTGTAAAGATCAGCCGTTTTCTTGTGCACTTTCTTCAAACTTAAAACTGTGTCATAGACACAGTGTAACAAATCTTCTGGCAAAGATTTTGTATATTAATTTTCATCATCATGATCAGCTTTCTGGCTGGCTTGTTTTTCTTGTGCTTTTCAGTAAGATATTCCTGGAGTCTCACCATCATTATCTATAAATAAATAAGCATGTAGTTAGTTATTCATTATTCTTTAATTCTCTGTAATTTTTTTCAACTGCAGATACATATTACTCAGTTCCATGTCTTGCCCATCAACAGTACTGACACTGCTCTTATCAATATTATCAATCTTGGTGATGAAGCCAGCTTTTTTTAAACCAATTGCGAAGTTTTTCTCAGTGAAATCATAATTCTATATTTTTGCGTGTTCAGGTATGTAATCATGTAAAATTAATACACATAAAGGCTGATTACTTTGAATTCCCATTTGGGTCTTCTTCAAAATTCTTTTGTGACAATGTGTTTTAACATTTTTATTGGTTCTTCATCCATAGGCTGCAGTTTTGAAGTGTTATGTTGAGGTAAGAATCAAGCCTTAACATTTTTATGTTTGTCTTTGATACCTTTAGGGAGATCGATATAATTGTCTGTCACTAGCGCAATTTTTCATTTCTGTGTAGCCATGATTTTATATAAATGTTTTAACCACTTTTCAAAAATATCTAAAGTCATCCATGAATTTTTCTTGAAATAGTAATCTACTTCCAGTGATTTAATATCTCAAATAATCTTGGATGCTTATTCTTTTATATTTGTCTATATAAAAGTTTTTATATAAGTAATATATAAGTTTATATTTTTATACGTAAGGTTTAAATTTTTCATTTCCTTCCATATTTGCACATAGAGGTTCAGTAACTCTAACCTTGCTATACTTGTCTCTTGAACTTTTTTTTTTTTTTTTTTTTTTTGTTCTTCTTTAGTTTTAGATCCTTCTATATGATACAGTCATTTTCATTAACATCTCTGCTTTTGGCACATACAAATTTTGAACAACTTGGTACGTTTTTTCTTTTTATTTCGTTAGCCACACAATGGTTGTATGAAATTCACTTTGTCCTAATGCTTTGGCAAACTTTGTAGCCTTTTTTTCAGTATTGGTGGCATTGATATTGGTATACAGTCAAAAGTCTTTAATCCGGACTCGTCGGGACTTCGGCGATTCCGGATTATCGATCATCAGTTTAAATCCGGTAAGATGGCATGCAGAAATAATAAAATTAAAAATATGAAACCGTAATTTATAAAATAATAATGAGCAATTATGATCTAAAGGGTATCAAAATTTACAAAAAAAGAAGCTTAATATTTATTTGTTTACTTTATTAAAAATTTCTTTCAACGTGCGCATGTGTACCTTACGAATAGCCGAAATTAGAAAATTGCAACCAGAAAACTATTTGATTTGTATTTGTGATATTTATAATAACGAGGAATTTGATTTAAATCATATCAAAGACGGAGTACATCGAGATGAAATACTACATTTAGTAAGGAATTATAAGCCGAATAAAATAAAAACATCTGCCCTGAAGATAACGATAGTGGTGACAGATCAACTTCCACTTCATTGCACGCTGCGACGTCCCCCCCCTCCCCGCGCAGAGCAGCGTGAGTGAAATTGATAAACATATTTTGGAACAGTTAGATAAACAAAGGATATACCTTTATCCATTTTTTGTAGCAATTCATTTTTTGTTTGATGGACATTGAATCATACTTTCGTTTTCTAGATCCTTTGGGCGCTCCAGCATCGGAAATTGTATTTGACATAATCGAAAGTTCAAGCTTACTTTTATAAAATTGCTCTTACAGTCTGCAAAAAATAATAAGCCGGATCCAATTCGAAGATTAAGAAACAACGCAATCATCAACATTAACTGAAATAGATAATTAGATAATTTTAGCTTATACCGTCCGTTATACATTAAACGCGCACGCGAAAACATATTCTGCACTTGCGCAGACGCATATGCGCAGTCGTAAATGTCTTGCGCACACGCTTAAAACGCCTATGAGCATGCGTCAACGCGGCGCATGCGCAGAAAGATTTTAGCTTTGAGGTCCGGATTATGGGTGTCCGAATTAACGACTTTTGACTGTACTATGTTTTATCTCACCGA